AAACCGGGGGGGGGGTGTCAACTTTTATATATTAAGACCATTATATTTTGATATTCACATATCAATTATTCTCAACTTTAAATGATTTAATATTGTCATCATTAGACTTGCTGAATAGTGCCCCTTTTTTTTTAAAATCTGAGAATATCTCTTGGAAATTGACAAAAGAAAAATTTTGAAGTCACAGACGTTAGAACCAAGTCTCACGGCGTTATTTCTTACTGGCATATCTTTCACTCTAAAAATATTCAGTATTCAGTTGCTGGTCACAAATAATTTTCCCCTCACAATAGGTATTGTCTTCTGAGAACTCTGAAGCAATGTCAGACCTTGAGAGAAGCACTCATTGCTGCAGGAAAGGAGATTATATGGCATGGGCGGACAAAAGAAGAACCAGCTCATTACTGTAGCATTTGTGAGGTAAGTAACTATTTTTATGCAGTTGTTTATAAAACCACTTCTCCACTTTTTATTTCTTTTTAGTCATTTTAAAAATTTTGCTTATATCTTTATATAATGCATTTTACTGCATTTAACATTGTGTTCAATTTAATTACCTTTTTGTTAATTAGCTGTTAACATTTAATCTGGTGATAGAATATTTTACTTTCTTTCTTTTTTTTAAATTTTTTATTTAGAGGTGAGGTTTTTGCTATAGGGTACATGCGCTCGCCAGAGACAGACAGACAGAAAGTGAGAATCAGCCCCCGTGGGGATAGAATATTTTACTAACTGTGATTTAGCCTTAGAATTATCTACTACAGAGTAATTTATATGATACGTCTTTAAGCAGTTTAGTCTTGAGATTTTAATTTGGAAACAGTATAGGTGTACACAGTATGAATGTAAATTAGAAACAATATGGATGTCCATAAACTGGATACACTTTGGTAGAATTCTAGGTAGATTGATGTTCAGTCCTCGCTAGTGTAATTCACAATACATTTGTCAATCTTCTATGGCTAAGAGCTACAGGAACAAAGAAAATGTGGTGCTTACTCTGAAGGAACTTAAAATTCTACTCAGAGAAGGCAAATTCTAAACTAATTGTTATGTATATTACACAACAAGTGAGTTGAAATTACAAACTGTCATGATAACACTAAGTGAGGGAAAAGACCTAATTTCCCCTTCTAGTATCGGCATCAGAGTTCACAAAAGTATTAGCATTTTAGTCCATCCTTGAAGGATGAGTATGATTTCAGCAGGCAAAAAACTGGTGAGAATTGGAGCTGGGCTGCCATGGACTATAGGAATAGCATGAATGTGGGGGAATGGAATGGTTTCAGAAAGGATGTGGCTGGAATACAAACTATGCAAATTCTACTTATAAGTCTAGGTGATACGGAACTTGTAGCACCTCTTAAATGGTTTTAAAGAATTTGATATTTACTCTGAGTTTGTGAAGCCATTAAGTTTTTGAGCATGCTAAGTTAGAAAACTAAGTTAGAAAAGTGGTTGGAGAAGACGAGATAGTAGGGTATTGCAATGCTCTTAACTAAGAGTTATTATCTTAAGACTTAGATTAGCATATAACAGTTGAGTATTAAAATATTCCATTTTGAGGAAGAATTAAAAAGTATTAGAAGGAAACATCAGCAAGACAACTTGTTAAATGGCAGAAGTGAAGGACAAGTTGAAGAATGCTCACAGATTTTCTGAGATCACTAGGCTTATATTGCTGTCCATTGATAGTAATGGGCAATGTGGTGAACTCTGGGATTTTAGCTAATGTAACTGTTCAAAGATGACATGAAATCATGAGAGTTTTCTGTCATTGAAGAAATTCGAAGAGGGAACCAGCAGTTAGCGTAATGGCTATGTCGCTGGACTCCCATGTAGTCGACCGCGGTTCACGTCCCGGACCCGGTGGCTTAAAACTCACGCCGGGCGCGTGTGCGTGCGTGCCCAAGATCCCGAGAGGAGAATGGAGGAGAAGGGATTGCGGCGTGACCATCCCTCTGGGGGGTGATTTCTCGCTTTCTGTCTCTATGTCTCTCTCTGTCTGTCTGGCGAGCGCACGCGCCCTATAGCAAAAATCTCTCCAAAAAAAAAAAAAAAAAAAGAAGGAAATTTGAAGATAAGCCAATAGCAGGGATGTTGATGATTCATTCCAAAACTTGCTAATTTGTAATTTTGATGTTGACCTTTATTTGAAGCAATTGAAACCATTGACCATTTTAATGTTATATATCCTGGCCAAAGGAAATCACTAGGTGAGCAGATAGATTATACTTAAGGAAAATGAATTGTATAAGCTTTTCAGTATTTGAGAATGACTTCCATCCCACATTGATATTCCTTATCCTGCCTGAACCTTAGCTACTCATCTGTCATTTTACATAAGATCTAGAGGTGTTATTTCTAGAATCATACTGTGCTCTTAAATACACATTTGTTTGTGCTCATACTCCTTAACATGAAGTTTATGACTGAACACTCACTCATTGTAACTAGCCTGTCAGTTTCCTCATCTGTAAAATATCCAGATTATATTCCTTCAACAAGTGTGTACTGAGGTTCGGCTAAGCACTAATATACATGCTCTGGCAATGCAAAGATGAGTAAAAACAGTCTTCATTTTAAAGGAGCTCAGTCTATGAGAGAAGGCAAACATCTATGTATGATACCTGTGATGAGTACTATTAGAGAAATGAAAGGAAAATAATGACCACTTGTGATTGATTATATATCTTAGTCTGTTACTGTGTTGCTAACAGAAATACATGAGACTGTTTAATTTATAGAGGTTTATTTGATTTGTGATTCTGTCCAGAATGTCCAAAGGTGTGGAGCTGGCATCACAACTCAGCTAACAGAAGCAGAAAGGAAGGCAGGCATGTACAAAGAGACAGAGAGAGAACAGACTATCCACTACCTTTCTTCCTACCTTGTTCCCCACCAATTGGATGATGCCCTCCCATTAGGCCCTGCCTCTTAAAGATCTCACCACCCCCCAAATCCATCATACTGGGAAACAAATTTCCAGAATAAGAACCTTCAGAGGATAAACTATTATTCAGTCCATAGCATTTACTTAATATTTTAAATTTAAAACACAAGTAGGTTGACTTTTATCAAACTTTTCAATTAGGCTTTATCAGTGGTGGTTATGAGTATATTCTTCCTCTAGGTCATTCCCCTAAATATGCATTCAACTACTTATATCTTTGAGTTTGGTGCAAAATAAATGAAAAATTCTCAAACACAGCCATTTTTTAAAAAGTATCTATTCTTTTTTTTTATTTTTTCAGAGAGTTTTTTTGCTATAGGGCGCATGTGCTCGCCAGACAGAGAGAGACAGAAAGCGAGAAATCACCCCCCAAGGGGAATGGCCATGCCACAATCCCTTCTCCTCCATTCTCCTCTTGGGATCTTGGGCACGCATGCACACGTGCCCAGCGTGAGTTTAAGCCACTGGGTCCGGGACTCGAACCGTGGTCGACCACATGGGAGTCCAGCGACATAGCCATTACTCTAACTGCTGGTCCCAAAAGTATCTATTCTTAACCAGAGAACACTGTTCACAATTCCATAAAAGTAGAATTCCCTGATTATATTTACATAGTATAATAAATGCCACACTCTGTTACATTGTGTTTTTTTTTTTCTCTTGTTTGAAATAGGTGGAAGATTTTAATCTGCTTTTTGTCACTAATGAGAGTAATTCTCGAAAGACCTACATAGTACATTGCCAAGATTGTGCACGAAAAACAAGTGGAAACTTGGAAAATTTTGTGGTGCTAGAACAGTACAAAATGGAGGACCTGATGCAAGTCTATGACCAATTTACATTAGTAAGTGAAATCGATATGTGAGTACATAGTTAGCTGGGTTATGAAGCTGCAGTGTTTGCTCTGCCACTTGATAAGTAGGAGGTAATGAAATATTTAAATTTTCCTTTGGCTCACTAGATATTGCATGAGGGTATATTCCTATCATCCCCCCTCCCCCCCCCAATCTACTTCTAAGTTTATTCCTGTGAAAGTGGCATATATCATTTTCACTTTTTCCCTGGGTGAAGCTAACCTAAATAATACTGCAACAATTATGTTTCAAAATCTTTGTATACTTTAGAACATTGCCATATACTTTATATCATTTGATCCCAGTTGCTAAAATGTTTTTGTATGTAGGTTATTAGTGCCCACAAAGTGAATCAATAAGTGTGCTTTTAAAATATACTTCTGCTTTTAGAGCTAATTGTATTTGTTTAAAATTTTGTCCTTACCAGAAGTATTAACCTCATGGGAATATTTGATGGAGCTTAACTTCCTGGTACGTTAATTAACCTTATGAAATTCAAATATACTTACCGAGTTGCCCACAGTTTTTAATTTTAACAACAAATGCTTGGGAGGAGAATTTTACTCTAGCAGGTCAATAGCTTTATGAATAGAAACACAGACACAATTTATGAATTGCTGATTTCTTCCAGTATTTTTTCTCTTACACATATGTAATCAGAAAATGATTTTTTGAAATTTAGTTCCTGGTGTTTTCATTTGAATGGTCTTTCAAGATTCTTTGAAGAAAAAAATTATCTGGAATTTGTTGAATAAAACAAATTATCTGCTGAGTTAGATCGAAGGCAGTCACTAAAGAAATTGCAATTGATTTGTTAAATTATTTTCCCCAAGGTACTTTTTTTAGAGCAACCTGTACAAATGGTAAACGTAATAATGTTCTGAGAGCTTTTGATTAATTGGTAAAGTAGTACAGGTAATTGTGGGTACATCAAGTTAGGTTTTTGACTCTTAAAAACATTGGTCAGGTGGAGTTAGTAAGGAAGTTGTGCTTTTCCATTGTATAGCAAACCGTTGAACTTTCTTGAGAGTTATTTCCCTTAACTTCATAAGCAGATTATCTTAAGCAGACTATGTATTTGTAGCTATGAGCTAGGGGCACTATTAACAATTTATTTACCAAAACAACCTACCTACCTTTTATTTCCAGGCTCCTCCTTTACCATCCGCCTCATCTTGATATTGTTCCACGGACATTAAATGAGACCTTTTCTGCTATTCAGGAAGTAACCCAATTCTGCACCACTGGTTTTGTAGCTATCTCGAAAGGCTGCTGGCTGAAAACTGTGTCTATGCAACCTTCTAAGTGCGGAGTGTCAACCAACTGGACAAGGGAGAATACTGCTCCCACTCCAGGACTCTCACAAAGCTGATCAGCTGTACTTTGGAAAGAAAAAAAAAATAATAATTTCCATGTTTTGTATATATCTGACAAAACTGGCAACATCATACAGACTACTGACTTGAAGACAACCTCTTTTATATTTCTCTATTTCTGGGCTGATGAATTTGTTTTCATCTATCTTTACCCTCTTCAGAATTTTCCTTGGAAAAAAATACTAGCCTAGCTGGTCATTCTTTGTAAGGTAGTTAGCAATTTGAAGTCTTTCTTTGGTCAACTTTTTTTTAATGTGAAAAGTCAGGTAAGAAACTTTTTTACTGCTTTTATGTTTTTCTGTCTTGTTTTGAAACCATGACGGTTACACTTTTGGTTCCTAAATAAAACATTAAAAAAATTAACAGCCAAGTCACAAAGATAATGGATTGCACATAGACTAAGGAATAAACTTCAGATTTGTGATTTTTGTTTCTAATCTTGATGTAAATTTACACTATTTATAAATACATATTTATTGCTTGAAAATATTTGTGAATGGAATGCTGTTATTTTTTCCAGATTTACCTGCCATTGAAATTTTAAGGAGTTCTGTGATTTCAAACACTACTCCTATTACATTTTCTATGTGTAAATAAAACAGCTTAGCATTGTACAGAAACTTTTATTAAAATTGTTTAATGTTTAAAGAGTTTTCTATTGTTTGAGTTTTAAAAAGACTTTATGTACAGTGCCCAGTTTTTGTTCATTTTTCAAATCTGATTATATATATTTTATATATACTTATGTATGTATATATAATATATATAGAAATCTGGATATATATGTATAAAGATTTAGAACTTAAATTTTTCTCGTTTTAAGTTTCACATCTATGGTAGATTTTTGAGGTGTCTACTGTAAAGTATTGCTTACAAAAGTATGATTATTTTTAAAGAAATATATATGGTATGTTTCTTAAAGACCTAAAATGTCAGACTGGTTTATTGTTAAGTTGCAATTACTGCAATGACAGACCAATAAACAATTGCTGCCAAAATGTAGTATAATAGTAGAAAACAAACAGTGATTGAACTTAAGATTTTAAAGGGGATGTTATATAGGCTTGACGAATCCTGTATATCACTTAGTAGCATTTTATATGGAAAATGGGATGCAGGATGAAGGGGCCTATTGTAGAATGCAAATAAGTTAAGAGACTTATTTTTTAATGTTAGGCAATTTTGAAATCACATGCTTTCTTGCTTGCGTGACATGATTGATGGGGGAGCTACAAATTCCACATCACTAGTAAAATATAGCCAGCTATATTAGCATTTAAAAGTCACTGCTAATTAATGATAGCATTTCATTTTATGATGCGCCTTGCATATATCCCTCCATTTTCTCAAACATTGGGCAAAAAATTCTCCTTTTCTCATATTGTCTGTGTACAGAATTTTTCAGGAAGCATTAGTGGAGATGTATAGAGACCTGTCTGAGAAAATGTACTGATTGCATTAATCAAGTTATTTTTGTGTGTGGGTGTGTGGTGTATTTTTTAGGGGGGCAGGTAGTTTTGGAGTATGTTGTCTTCCTAAAACAGTTTGAAAACTGAAAGCATGGAGATGCTTTATTCAATTAGTTAATAATTTGGTAAATATTGAATATCTACTAACAGCAATAATCTTTTATTTATAATTTCAGAAGGAAATTATTTCAAATCTATTTTAATTATGGAACAAGAGTGCTTGTCTAAGTGCTGTTCAGGATGTTTAGCCAATAGTTTTAAGTGGGTTTCTTATAAAATCTCCTATCCAAAGGTCACTTTTATTAAAGAATTGAAGGCAAACATTTTCGCAAACAAACATTGCAAGCCAGCCATCAAGAAGCAAAGATGATAAAAATGCTAAAGTTACACCTACATGTTTGTTAACATATTCTAGTTTATCATAATAACATAGTGAGGGATAAAGGAATTTCTTTGAATTACCCTAAGGTTGTTAGTAACATTTGCCAGAGTTTGTTCAATGGAGTGACAAACCTGATTGCTGTGGATGGGAAAAAGTACTGAATTTGAAAGAGACAGGTCACTTTGGTCTTAGCACAAGCCTCAGATATGAAATTATGTCATTTTTTTTGTGAATAACAAACAGATCACAAGTTGTAAACATTGTGTAATCATACCTTAAATCTATTCGAAATCACATACATGATTATTATTTCAGTACATTAGGATGGTCCTTATGTTCATTTCTGCTGGCTCCTATCAAAACATGTTTCATCACTTGGAAGTAAACTACATGAAACTGAATGGTTCGAAAACACCAAGAAAACAGTGACTACATTTTTCAGGTTGACACACTTAAAAGCCATGTTTTAAGATCACTAAATCTGATTCCCATCTAGATTCTAGAACAGGTGCTATTTTACTTCACTGTAGAAAGATAGGAATTGCTGAGTGCTTACTCCACAGTGATGTTTAAAGAACCTTTCATTTTGAATGTAATTTTTTAAGAATAGTGGGGCTGGCAGGTGGCGTGGTAGTTAAGGGCACTGGACTCCCACATAGCCGACCATGGTTTGAGTCCCAGACCTGGTGACTCACTCTCTCTCTCTCTCTCTCTCTTTATCTCTCTCTCTCTCTTGCTCGCTCTGTCCCTCTCTGGTCGAATTAAAATAAATAAAGTTAAATAAAATAATTCTTTTTAAAAAAATGAACAGCAAGATGGTCCAGCAGGTGGTGTGGTGGTTTAAGGAGCTGGGCTCCCACATGGCCAACCACTTTGAGTCCTGGAGCTGGCCACTTGCTTTCTCTCTGTCTCTCTCTCATGAATATACATGCACAATTGATTTTTTTAAAGTAATAATAGTAAAATTAAATACTTGTTTAAAAAAATAGGAGAATGTCATTAAACTTGATGACCTATAATTAGGCTGACCGGCCATATTTTTTTTTTTGGCAGGGGGGGGGTTTTTCTAAAAAGACAGAAACAGAAAGCGAGAAATCACTCCCCATGGGGGATGGCCACGTCGCAATCCCTTCTCCATTCTCCTCTTGGGATCTTGGGCGCACACGTACACGCACCTGGTGTGAGTTTAGGCCACCTGGTCCGGGACTCGAACTGCGGTCTACTACATGGGCGTCCAACATAGCCATTACGCCAATGGCTGGTCCCCACATTTTTTATAGTTCATACCAGGACCCCTTTGGGATCGAAAGAGGGAGCACTATTAATAATTTGGGAAGCAGCCATAACATGGGAATGTCCTAGGCAAACTGGGATGTGCAGTGTAAGACTTTAGTCCTTTGAAGAAGTAGTTTGAAAGTAGTTCTTATCTCTTCCTAATATACTCCTAGATTTTTGTACTCTTAGAATGGAAAGGATACATGGGTTTAGGTACATCAGGACGTACCCACAATTGTGGTTGAAACGGATAGTTATTGAGACCAGCAGTTAGCGTAATGGCTATATCACTGAACTCTCCTGTAGTCAACCACTGTTCGAGTCCCGAACCCGGTGGCTTAAACTCACACCAGGCGCGCGCGCGTGTGTGTGTGTGTGTGCGTGCACATGCCCAAGATCCCGAGAATGGAGGAGAAGGGATTGTGGCATGGCCATCCCCCCTGGGGGGTGATTTCTCGCTTTCTATCTATCTGTCTGTCTCTCTTAACAAAATGAGTGAATAGGGTAAGGATTATTAATATGCATTTTAATAACCTCTTGGTCTGATGACCATTTACCAATCTAATTTAATTGACTTCAAATATATTTATGATTAACACAAAGCAATACTCTGATACACCCACTTTCTAAAAACTACCTAGATATAACATCTATTCAAGGAGAGAAAAGTGGAGAAAGTGAATACTTTTTTTTTATTATAGACTAGACTTATATAGTTGTCTTCAGTCTGTTTTATGTTGCTATAACAATACCACAGATTGAGTACTTTATAAAGAAAAATTTATTAATAATTCTGGAGCATGGGAAGTTCAATATTTAGCAAGGGCTAGCATCTAGCAAGGGCTTTCTTGCTACGTTATCTCATAGCAGAAGGTGGAAGGGCAAGGAAGTGAGAGAGAAGGGGTCAGAACTCATCATTTTGTCAGGAATCCACTCCTTCAATAATGGTTAATCCATTCACGAGGGCTGAGTTCTTTTGATATAATTGCCATTTAAAGGTCCCACCTCTCAACATCATTGCATTCGGAATTAAGTTTTCAACACATCAACTTCAAGGAACACATACAAACTAACAGTAGTTAGGCATTAACTTTAGGACTCAATTTTATAATAGAATACCACATTTGGCTGAGTAAAACTAGATAAGAATGATACCTTTAGAAAACTTGATAGAAGTTAAATGTCATCTCATAAAATGCACATGGATGTGACTTTTGGGATGGCTGCACATTGAGAGGAATCCATGCCTAATACGTGGCAATCAGTACCGAATTCTGTGATCTGTATCAGCAAGATCTTCTTGGTTAAAATACTGAACATTTGGGGGGCAAGTTCAAAACTGAAATCCTGCAGCATCAAAGTTTCAGTAAAAAGTAAAAACTACAAAACACCAAAGAAAAATACAAGTGTATAAAAAACCTGGATAGTTTTAAGATACTGATTAATCTGCATATTATCATACATCACTAAAGAATTATCTAATTATACTTATTTATAATTTGCTACATGGCATGTTTTCTAGCAAGAGAGCGCTGCCAGATCCCGAATTTGAACCATGATCAACCGTGTGGGAGTCCAACTCCTTAACCATCACACTACCTGCTGGCTTCCATACATTACTCTAAATCAGATGAGGTTCACAGTCCATGAATTAGACTTCCTCTGTAAAATGGTCTCCATCTGCTTCTCCAGAAAAGGTCAATCTGTTGTAAGTTACATGAGTAAGAACTCATCGAGGAGCTGTGTGTGTATGTAGGTAATCAGCTAGTTAATCTTGAAAGACCAGGAGATGCTAGCACTGTGAAAGTTGACTTTCCACCTTAACCCATTGATCATTTTTGACTGAATTGGAAGTTGAACATGCTAATTTAATTCTATTATTCCAGCTATGTTAGCTGCTACTCTTCTAAAGAAGAGTGTTTATTATTTTTCTTCTCTGACTTCTCTGAGTATTACTATGAACTGATTGGTTTTTCAAAGTTTTACAATAAAGGAAACCAGCAGTTAGCGTAATGGCTATGTCGCTGGACTCCCACGTAGTCAACCGTGGTTTGCATCCCGGACCCGGTGGCTTAAAACTCACGCTGGGCGCGTGTGCGTGCGTGCCCAAGATCCCGAGAGGAGAAGGGATTGCAGCGTGACCATCCCCCCTGGGGGGTGATTTCTCGCTTTCTGTCTCTGTCTCTCTCTGTCTGGCGAGCGCATGCGCCCTATAGCAAAAACCTCTCCAAAAAAAAAAAAAAAAGTTTTACGATAAATACCAGTCATTGTACTTTATTGGTGCTCAAATTGTCTGAAACTGGCTCCTGTGTATGGACACATCCCCATCAGTTCTTTTTGCTTTCTGGTACTAGGCATCTCTCATTTTCTCACTTTTTAAATTTTTTTCTGCCTCAGCCCTGGGATCTGCCATTTCTTGAAAAATGTCATTTCCTTTTAGTGCAAAAAGAGGAAATATCCTTTTGATACTTTCAATTTACATTTAATATTACAGGTTTCTTATTACCTTTATATTTCTTATTACCTT